TTGATTCACACTGTTCTTCCCACATCTTCAATATGTTTCAGGATTAATTCAGGTGTTTCAGGATTAATTGGTCAAACTGCAAAAATGAACTAAGGACCTCAATACAAGAAAAAAATTTTCTCTAAAGGTATGTCCGCAAACGCTTTCCTTAGAAGTCATTAATACATAAAATTTTCATTGTTATGAATAATTTACGTCATATTAAGTAAATAAAACTTATTTCTTTGTTTCAACTACTTCATTAATTAAACGTAAACATTAAATTCATATTAAATGTTGTTGGACAGACCCGACATCTTTCTTCAACAGCAGCGGTTGCAGAACGGCACTGAATTTCTGTTATTATTTCACAAGATTCAATTATTCTTCTTCGTAAGGAATTAAGGTTATTGACAGGACTTGCATAGACTTTTTGTTTAATATCATCCTCCCCCCCCAAAAAAACTAGTGGTGTCAGCTCCGGAGAGCGTGCACACCAAGCCACTGGTCCTGCACGGCTAATTCATTGATTGCGATAATTATCATTTAATTTGAATAATTAACATTAATGTTTGAATTTAATTATTAAAATAGTTAGAACAAATAAGTAGGTTTTATTTATTTCATATTACGTACATAATTCATAACAACGAAAATCTTTAGGTGTCAATATCTCATAAGCAAAGCGTTTGCAGACATAGCTTCAGACGAAATCTTTTTATTGTTTTGAGGTCCTTAGTTTATTTTCGCAGTCTGACCACTTAAGCCTGAAACACTCTGTATACAGTGTCCATTTATGATGTAATATGTAATACTACTTTAATGCTAATGAATATACTATTCAGCAGAAAAAAACAAAACATTTTTCATTTTTTCAATTTAAAATAGTAAGAATATTTATAGAAATTGCTTTTTACGTAAACAAAAAAAAATACATAAATAAATTTAGGCTCTTATCAAAAATATGACGACAGCTACACTCTATTATTTTCCCTTTGATGATAGACTACATGTTCCATTAGTCTGATAGACATGGATACGGTTGACGTGTATACAACCACGTGCAGACGGCTACATAGGAGCTTGATGAGCCATTTCCTTCCTAGAATTTCTATAATCTATTTTATTTTCTGGTACTGCTTGTTCGTTGATTTTCAACATGTTATGATAAGAGGAGGGAGAGGGAGAAAGAAGTTTGAATTTAAATATGAAAAAAAAATTATTAATCATAATAATCATAGTAATTTAACTTGCGTTCAAATCCCGGCGTCGGGAGGCTTAAACTCTGATATAAATCATCCGCACTCACCTCTGACCCAGGAAAAACTCCGTATAGCCTAAAAGAAAGTGGAGGAAAAAAAATACTTTGTGTTTGTTAACCAGTTTTCTACTTATCTTTGTTTTATTTAATAGCTATATAAGAGCTGTCGTGTAAATTTGGAAACAATGTATATAAATAAAAATAAAAATGATCGTTGGTTTAAAACCGCTCATCTCTGAAACTTCTTCACCAATCGCTTTCACATGTTGATATAATGATTATAAGGAATTCATTTATTCCATTGTTCTGTATATTGTCTATCGTTTTGAGCCAAAACAGCTGTAATAATTCTAATGAAACTTGGCTCTTCTCTTTGAAGACGTTTTAATTTATTTACATAAATAATTTCCCCTTGATTGGTAAACAAATTAAGGATACATTCAGAATTTTACTTGGGAATAACTCGTAAAGTACTAAAATTTTACAGGAATGTTTTGTGTATTAAGTATTCATAAAACTGTATGTTCTCAAATATGCAATAAAAAATGTATAATAGTATAAAAATAAAATGTTCGAAACATGAAAATTCATATCTGTTTTCCTCAAATAATGGTTATGGTCCGATTTAGACCACTCGAAGAACACCAGTTTAATTTATATAGAAAAAGAAATCCTTTTTTTGACAATTTTTTTATGTTAAATTCATCTTTTCATTAATTTGTTCGCGTATAGTTATGTATTATATTAATCTATAGGGAAAAAATGAAAAAAAAAAAATGTTTCATCCAATTTCTTGGTCGTTAAAATGACAATACACCACTAAGTATAGGAGAGAGGTCATCGTATCCGAGGGTATTGAACCAGTTGGAAGGGGTTAAGTACCTTTGCCGGGTTGGCACCATCAAAACCACATTGTTAGGGAAGACCCACATCGTCACCATTGCTTAGATTTAACAGGTTCTTACTTGTTTCATGTTATTGCGTCGCTTCTCCAACTTTGTACGAAGCCTCTGAAATGTGCTTTACAATATTCTCAGTTCAATGGTTATCTATTGTAACTTCTCTTTCAAGTTTTTATGTAAGATTATGCGAGAATATATTTTTTTTAAACTTTATTTCTCAACTCTCTGTTTTTTTTTTCAACTCTGTTAGAAATATCAACAATAATTTTTTTTTTGTATATCAAAAAATATATTTGCACCTGTCAACTTATTGTTGACAATCAGCAAATGTGATGGCGATATATGACATGACAGGCATGGGAAAGGAAAGTACTCAGCAATACCTCTTCCCTGACTTGTTCCAATTACTTAGGTTGTCTTAGGAAGGAGATCCCTCATCCTTCAGTGCCTTTTTAGTCTCCTCCTCGTTTTCTGAGGTATGTCAGCTGTGGTCATGTCTCTTATAACTGTGTTATTATGTCCATTTAAATTTGTGTAAAATCGTTGATAAAGGGACGTTATATGTTGGTCAACTGTTGGAAAGTGGAGGTCAGTATGTAGAGTTTTGTAAGCCACGTACCAAAGTGCTTTTGTTAGGAGTCACAATAATTTTGATTGGAACGTTTGAAGTTTTTGTAGGTGGGTCTTTTTTGCGATACCGTATATTTGTGATGAATACGTCCGTATGGGTTTAAGTAAGTATGTATATGTATTCAGTTTCTGTTTTTTTTAATTTTTAAAAACAGTACATATATTGTGAACGTGATCTTAACTCCCAATAACCATTGCCCAAGTGAGAAAATGCTATATTATTCAATAAATAACAATGAAAATGTATGAAAAACCGGGTAAAGAATTATTCCTTTAAACAATAGCGATACCTTTAATATTAATTTATTGATAATGAAGAGTAAATAATTTAGTTAGTTTCTTTTATGACTTAATTTTTTATGTGGCAAGCATTTATGTTAGTTATAAGCCCTTCGCGAAGCATAATGTAGGTTGTAAATAATGTATTTAATAACAACAAATAATGTAATAAAATATATTATGCGTCGACTCTGTTTAATGAAACCCATCTTCATGATGTCATACCGTTCAATTTTCACAACCAAAATCACAATCTTTCTTTCCATCTGAGTACTCTAATCGATAATTTATAATAGCTGACAGCACCACAAAACGATGAAGGATTTTTGAGCAAGAAATGTTATGAGAGAAATGACCTTCGTTTCGCAAATGAAGCAATGATATAAGAATACTAGGAAGCAATAATGACAGGTCTGATAATAAAACAGACATTGAGTGCCTTATTAATTAGTATTGATAAACAAAGACACTAAAATGCTTGAATCATCTCTTGCTTCGTTTATCTGAGAGACAAATACTTGTAAAATATTGTCTATATTTGAGAAGCTCGACGGAATGAAATCAAACCGTTCAATTTCAATATTGATTTGGTAGAAGAATAGACAGACACGTTTTAATTCATGTTAAAATTTAATATGAAGACAACTAAATGATATATATATAGAATTTCAATGGAAATCACGGGCAAATAAAAAAAAAAAAAAATAACTGTATCTAGTTCTCTATGTTTGGGTAAAGCGAAAGAAGTTATTATTATACGCCGATGAATTTATGTTATATCTTGTTGTTTTTTTTTTTGTGTTACCACCTCTGAGGAAAGGTGGTAAGTCAATGAAATAGTATTAATATTTAATGTATTTAACTTAGTTTAATTTTTAAGCAGTATAACAGTAAGAACTGTTGTATTGATTTAAAACCATTTTGTCAACAGTGAGCTTCGTTAAAAAAAAAAAAAAAAAGTGTCTACCACTCCCTTCTTCACCAGTAAATATTAAAATAATGGCGTAACTTATAGGTCATATATAGGATAAATAAGAATATATATATATATATATATATATATATATATATATATATATATATATATATATATATATATATATATACAATGATAAGTGTTGTTTTTCCAGAACTGAAGAGGATCCCATTATTTATGTTAAAAACAGGGATCGAAACGTTTTTGAAAAATGGAATAAACAGAAGTTGTTTTAAGTCATCTAAGTGTTCATGACCTATTATCCGATTACAATACTTATCTTAAGTTATATATATATATATATATATATATGTATGTATACACCTTAATCTGAATTAATCTTCTAAATGAGAAGATGATAGATGAGCACGGTTAAACGAGGATCTCAGTTGCCATGTACAAGCGCCAGGACTAGCCATCCACCCATCTATACAAGTACAAGTACCATGGCATCCTTTGGTGCTTTCTTCACCCATCTCCACACATTCCTTTGAATTCCTTCATGGATTGAAGCGGCAGGTTCTCCGAAATCTTTTGTTAAATATGACAATAGAACCAATGGCTATGGACTGGTCCTCCACTCATGATCTAAGTGGCAGAGACTTAAGTGATGTCACCTCCAATGAGTTTCAATACCTGTGACGAGGCCAGAAGTCTTATCTCCTATAGGAGGGAGGGAGAGTTGTTAGACAAGATGTTCATTGATTTAAAGTTCATGTTGTAAAATTATTGATGTATTTATATTATACTATCCCTTATTTCGTATTTCTCTGAAAATAAGAGAATTGCACTGTTTGGATTTTGGATTGATAATTTTTTTTTATGTGTACATATATATTTTTTATTTAAGCAAAATTTCAACAAATGCCGTGTAGTATTTATAAATATATTTCATCAGTTAAAATATTTCGTTCAAAATATCTATATTTTCATGAGAGTTCTACTATCGTGTCAGTCACGAGTTGTGTGATGATTATGCAAATGTGAGGGAGCAGACCAGGGTGATGTTAACTGAAGATGTGAGCGCAGCTTGTGACTGCCATGAGACTTTATAGCTGTAACAGGCCTGGCTGATCACCTTTGCCGTGGTTACGGCACCACAATATGGCTTATGGCTGAGTAGAGCTAGCCTAATTACGTCCAATGGATTCGAACTTATATATCCTAACTAATTCCAATGGGTAATTATTTTTGTCTCATGCGTCATTCAGCTTATTCACTTGTCTAGTTTTGAAATTAATTATTACATATTAATACCAGGTAAGAGGGTTGTTTAGGGCTCAGAGGCGTAAATCCCCTAAGTCATCAATCCCTATCTAATCTTTATTTCAATTGCCTCAATACTAAATTATTTTGAGAGAAAAATAATAAAAAATATAAAGTAATAAATAAATAAAAAAGTAAATAAATACAAATGAAATAAAATATGAATTTTGTTTAGAATATGAATCATTAATTTTAAGAAAATTGGTCATCGACCTTACTTTAATTTTATCATTACTTGAAACATCTGATAGTCTTTGTATGAGTCTTAATTTGGATAAAATTGATATGTCATAGTTAGACTCTTGAAGAATGTGGCTCACTGTAAGAATACTGTAGCAGTGTTCGCATTTTAGTGTAGGCTGTTTACTTGTCAGATAAGAAAGTGTTTGTATGTCCTATTCTTAGTATAATTAAGACAACTTCCTCTCTATAATATGGTGGATCGAGGTGTGCCATGGTTATAGTGATTTTTTTATTTCCTTCAATTTGTTCGGTGGGCTCCCGTTCCACATGGATTGCGAGCATATAGACGAGTAGTGATAAATTTTGGTTAATATCTAGACGTGCCTAATGTTTTTTAATCAATTTTAAAGTTTCTGGTGCATCTCTGCAGCTCCTTCAAATAAGTTAGAATGTTCAAAATCAGTATGTAAATAGAGTTCCTGAATTACTATACAGACAGACAAATTATAAACATTTCAAAAACAGATACATAAAAAATAAGTTCAGCAATTGAATTTTTATTTTCATTTATGAATTAATTAACCTTTAATTTTCATTGATTTTACAAATAAAACCATACGAATTCAAGGATAGATGCTGTTCCATTTATTATTATTATTTTATGGCATTATATATATGGAAACATGAAATTCCTAGAACATTTGGAATATCATTGCAATGTTTATCATTGATGTTGAAAATTATTAAGAATTTACCTTTCCTACGAAGGGCAGTCCCGGCTTGTAGCGACGCCGCATCTCTTTTGAGAACCCCAGTTCAACGTAGTGTTCTTCAGCAATAGGAAGAGCAGGAAGTGCTGGGTCTTTGGATCCCCTAGATAGCGAAACATTGAGCTCTTCAGAAAAAACTGAGGTACCGACCAGCACTTCCAGGTTCCACGATCCGGTTCTGGCTTCTTCACTAAGAGTCATCTGGAAGCCCTTGACTCCTGGAACAAATGAAACATGAATCCTTTATGAACTGCTTTTCTGACAGAAAAAAAGTAAATATTTATTAAAAATGATATAAAATACAGACTTCATACTGCATGAAATTTTCTTTTATATATTTTATACTGTATTAAAAGACGGTGCAATAGGGTAAATTATGTAAGTAATAAATTTTGTGAATATATGCATTTGGTTTAATACGGAATTAGGCTTGATACTAATATTTTCAATTGCTAAATTCCTTGATATTAAGATTTTTGAAATAATGAATTTCTAAGATTTATTTTCACAATCTTATAGAAAAATATTGACTATTAATAAAATAACAATTGTTAAGTAAAAACACGCTTCACCCATGGCTGTATTTTATGTTTAAAAAAAAACAAAAAAAAACTAGGTACTGAAAATACGTTTTCCCACTGTATCGATCAGAAACTCAACAGCGATGTTCTTTCTGCAGTGTGAACTAAAATTCGTATATATTCAATTGTTTATTAAACAATTCAATAACTACCAATATTCAAGATGGTTTCAATTGAGCCAAAACACTTAATGGGTTGCAGTGGAACAGGTTATTGTTTTTTTATAAATAACCAAACATCATTATGATTGAATTAAGTTCTGAATAACAACTAATATGTTAACAGAACCATTATTACTAATTTTAGTATCCATTTAGTAATTAAAAATAATAGTAGCTAAAACAAATAGAAAGAAACTGGTGTGTCCATTCACACGATTTTCCTACCTATTTCAGGTTTTTTTAAATATTTTTACATATGTCTATCAAGAAACAAACAAAAATTGAATTAGATTTATTTTCCTGAAAATTGATCAAATAAAAGATTTGAATAGTAAAATAATTAATTAAAATATGTGCAGAAATTAGAATAAGATGCATCATCGCTAATACTGGTTCGATTCCGATGATTATTTTTTTTTTTGGTAATTTAATTACCTTTTAAAAGTTTTATTATAATGTAATATATATATAATATTTTTCTTTTCTTTATAACTTTTTTTCCGGAATTTATTCCATATTTGAAAATTGAAAAGACAATTATTAGAACATTATAGGAAAGTTTCATCAAAATGGTTAGAGCCGTTTTCGCGCTACAGTCTATATAAAAACATGCTTTTTCATTTATAGCGTAGCAGTTATTGCTCATGGAGCACCCAATTTCTGTCACAGGCATCAATAGTCAAAATTCTACAAAATAAAAAATTAAACAACAAAATCCGTTCTGTAGTTGCTGAACAATTCTTGGCAAAGACAGAAAGACAAACCAATGGATTAAAATGTGTTTTTCGAACTCAGGGAGCTCTGAAAACCGCATATCGGAAATTTGGCTCGATCGCAATTCTTTCCTTACTTAGTATAGGTGGTAAAACAATAAAGAGAGATGGTAACCTATCCTTAACGATATTGAAATGTAGCTGGAGATCTATTAATTTTTTTTAGTAGAAAAGTGCAGGAAACCATATTTAAAAAAGGAGTACAGTTAAGGAGTATGAAATTATTTCTATATATAACAATCGCTATCCATAGTCAGAATATTTCAGAAATAAAATTATTCAAAATGATCTAAATAAACAATATAACACAGACTTGACCCTAATGCCAATCCTTCAGACTAGAGTACTTATCCTCTCAAACCGCCACATCATCCCTCCCAATCGATTCCCGATAATCTTCCGAGATTCTAAAAAGATGATGGTATCTTATATTGACCCTTAGTCGGATTAATTTCAAACTGAACTATGCCAACTTTAAGATAATTTATGTTGAATTTGTATAAATACAAATTTTAATACTTAAAGAGAAGATGTCCATGAGACAGATTGTAATATTTTTCAATAAAAAAAAAATAAAATAAAGAGAAGAAAGAGGCGACTAGTAAGTTAGTAGGAGTCTAAAAGCTAAAATATGCTAACAGCATACAAGTTGAAAATGAAGTTAAGAAACTCTAAAAAAATATATAAATAAATAAAGAGACCACGTGTTTGATTGGTCACTAAAGGCGCTTAAAAACACAATCCCGAATTGCCGTTGAGTTGTGCGGGAACTGTATAAACAAGCGCCGTATTCAACTAATTGAGTAATTGATGGAACAGTAATATAAATATTTATCAAGTATCAAATACTAAATCACTGTTATAAGGACAATAAAGTTAAATTAATATTTATAAATTATATATTTTATGAATTTTGGTTACAGACAATCATATATTTATCAATATTTAAACTTTTCTAATAATCAACTGCTTTAGTTTTATACTATGAATAAAATGTTTCTGATAATTATTAATTATAAATTTACTTGTAGTATTATTATATTGCTGTTTATTTATTTTTATTTATTGTGCATAGTATGAATAAGCTACTCTTTATTACTATTACTATTCTAATTAAATGTGACAGATCGTAATATATCTCAATAAAGAAATTTCCTAAATTTGAAAAAAAATTAATTATAAAATAATAAAAAGGACTATTATAAAAATTCATTAAGTATATTTTAGAATATTAAGTTACAAACATAACGTGATTGAAATTGTTGCATTTAAAAGTTTAGTTCTATTCAAATATATTTATTGACTCTTACGCAATAAACCGTCGGTGTACTATTTCTAAAACACCTTTTAAACATAATAATGATTTTCCGAAATTTTATTTTAAAACACTATTATTCCAAAAAATAAAAATAAATAAAAAGAAGCTTACATTTTAGTTTCATGTTTATTTTTCATTTGTTGCTATTATTTTAACAAATGATAATACATTAATATTTGTCATAAAATATTATGTTTATTTAATAAAACATTTTTGACCAATCATGACTACAAAACTTATTTTGTATATTTTTTCAAATGAAAAAAAAAATATCATATTTAATCAAGATTTCCATTGTTCCATCTGATAGTTTGATGAAATTATTCCAACTCAAAGTTTAGAAAAAAACAACAGAGATAAAGACAAGAATAATGATTGTTATATCTTTATTGTTTTAATATTATGCAGCCATGAATATCAAAAAATTATACAACTCTTAAAGACAGCAAATTGATTGACACTACTATAGTTTAGTATTAGTGTTTATTATTATTCGTTTCGTTTTCATTCATTTTGTTTATTTATTTTCGGAAATATTATTAAATTATTTTGTTAATATTTTTTTTCACATTTCGGTAAGAGATTATTTTGTTCAAATTTTTATAGCTTTCCTCACAAATTAATCCCGAAAGTTGAAATTTAACTATTATTTATACAGCAATAACGTATTGTTAAAAACCCATATTGGTTTCTAGTGATCCAAAATCGATTTCTAGTGATCCAAAAGAACTACTATTAACCGATAAATCGACAAAAAAAAATTATCTGATCTAATTTTATCATAATTCTTCATTAAGAAACTCACGTTAAACAGATTTTATCTTCAAAGCTCATAAAACAGGTAAATTAAACATTTGCCAGATGAAATGAATTTTTTTTTCTATTCCAGAACAAATACTTGGGTTAATCTATTTTTTATTCCAGCTCGCTCCCCCCTCCCCTTAGTTACATATGTTTCTTCTTCTTTGTTCTCTGGATTAATTATGTTTGTCACGTTTTTTTTTTCTTTTCTTTTTACTCTTTTCTTTCTTCATACTGAATCTACAGTACTGTTGAATAATTAAAATCCTTTGGTCTGCCCACAAGAACAGCTGTCATAAATAACAAGGGGCTAGTTAAATTGTAAAGGTCTACCACAAATGTAAATTTATTCTCTATTGTGAAGCAAGTTTATTTTTATCTTTGTTGGATTTTAAACGTTAAATTAATTTGTAAATTATAAATATATATTTTTTAAATATTTTCAATAATAAAAATTCTACAAACAGAGTATTTTCATGACATCAAATATATATTTTTTTGAGGAATTAAAAAATAAATGTGAGATTAGAATTAAAAGATGAATAAATGTATTTATTCACAAACGCACTGAGGAGCAAGGTAATTCATTTTGGTAGCATGTGTTGAAAACATTAGATTAAAAAAACTAATACTACAATAATACATTAAAATAAAGCAATTAATGATTTAAAAAAGAATAGTATTTTTTAATTTAATTATCAATGATCAAACTGATCCTTGAATCCTTTCTAGAAGGAATTGGATTCTGAGCTGAACAATAAAAACCATAAAACGAAAAATAAATAACTAAATAAGAAATTTTCATTTTATAGAAATGGTTGATTCCAGATAAATATGAAAAAAGCTAGAATAATTTATTATTAAGTTTGTCTAAATCGCGCTATGAAGAGTGAAAGGAAACAATCAATATATGTATATATATATATATATATATATATATATATATATATATATATAAATATATAAACAATCAATATATATATATATATATATATATATATATATATATATATATATATATATATATACATACATATTTTCATTATCATTTTAAATACAGCTAAATGCAAAATAAACTAAATAAGCAATATCTGTTAAAGAAAAATAATATTGAAAGTAAAATTTATACTTCATAATTCATAATAATATTATTCATACAGTATAATATATTCATATATTGTTTAGAAAAAGTATATATATGTAGTCTTGGAATCATGTGTCATCTTTATCTGGATTTCCTCATCAGATTGTTGATTTGATGTATGCTATTCTTGGGTGTATTTTTGACGTTATTATTTGCTTTTGTTACGGCTTCCAGACTTTCGAAATATTACTCGTTGGTTATTTATTGATATTTTAAAGACGAAAATTTCTTTTGCATATTGTAATAATATCCCAACAATGAATTTTATCTCACTGACTGTTAGTTATAAAACAATAATATTGTCGCTTTATTGCAAAAAGTCAGTAATTAATTGAAGAGAAGTTGGTTGGAGTGTTCAGTCAAAATATAAAAACATGAAGTAAAAAAAAAAAATATATCTCACGGGATCCTTTCGTGAGATCA